TTCTGCCCTCTCCTTTTGGATGGGACTTTGAAGAAAGCCTTCTGTGCGTCTTCCGCTTCTTCATCTGAACCGAAGAATGACTGGATCGGCAAGGTGAGCGATGCTTCCGTGCACAGTATGTGCCATGGGTTGGTACCTGCACTAGAATTATTCTCTATTTGTTTATTATTAAGAGAGACATCAGACAAGTACGCTAAAATGAAATCTTCATTAATGCACCACTCGCCCCCACTCGGTACATCATTATTACTCTCACCCTGATCCATTTGTCAGCTTCATTACCGCTGTCCACATCTTCTTTCTCTTGGGATTCCAAATAGAAGACGGAGTCGGTGTGGAAGTTTTCTACTCCTCGGAAGGGGTATTTTTCTGCGATCAGGGTTCTGACTTTGCCCTTGTCATTGGCGTACTTCATAACCTGATGCAAAGTAGATGGGACAATGCGGTTTGCATGTATCCATGGTCGTCCTAGCAAAAGATTGTAGGACGTGTCCGCATCTATGATGTAGCATGCTACCTCGGACTTGAGATCTCCGATCTGGCATCTGAGTTTAATCTTTCCCAGGGGTCGGGTACTGTTTGCATTGAACCCGAAGATTGTAGTCTGGGTGGTGTGCAGCCGGTGCATGGGAATCCCTAGGACCTGCATGACCCTGTAGGGCATGATACTAAGCGCTGAGCCCGGGTCAACTTGAACACGACTGATTTCGGAGGATCCGATATATCCTGTGTAGTACAGTGGTCGGTCATGTTCATGTTTGACCTGCATGTCTTCTTGCGTGAACGATATGCAGGGTAGACTTCTCGCCGCTTGCAGACATTGCAGACAAGTTTGATCATCAGAGGCTTCGGGAGCCGGGGTGACTTGGGTGATGAAGCTCTCTGTATTCTTCAGGGCTTCAATCAGAGCTTCCTTGGTAGTTTTGGATAACCTTAGGAGCTCATATAAAGTAATCCTGGCCGGTATGTTGGCCAGCTGCGCCATGACGTTGAATTGGAAGGGAGCGCTCGACTCTCCAGTTTCCTGGTGGAGATTTCTGTGGAATCGGAGCTCCTTCTGTTTTCCTTTGTCTACTGGCTTTTTCGGAACAGAACCCCCAGCGTCTTGGGGCTGTTCCACGACCTCTGGAGCGTTCTGGCCATAATCTCTCAGGTAAGCTTTTCCTGACCGAGTGCCAGGATTGCCTTCTGGGTATGCTGCTAGAACAATCCTCTCCTCTTCTGAATCAGTAAGAGGCTTGAGGTGGTCATCATCTTCAGTAATGGAGGGGCTAATCATGTTGGAAGACTTAGCCTTGCCTCCCTTCTTTTTGGACGGGGTGTTCGTCCATTGTTGATCTCCCAGCAGATCAGGATGGACCCACATGATTTCCCCTTTTGGGGTAGTGAGGGGCACCAACCCCCTGTCCTTCTGACTATGCAAGTCAGCATTCTTCAGACGTATTTCTCCCTTGCGAATGGGGACGACGCCGTCCGTCGTTACTACCGGGGGAAAATCACCAAATTGGACCGCTATCATATTAGTAGATACGGTCTTCTGCTCTGGCTTCAGTGTGAGCACATTAGCGTTCACCAGATTCTGTAAGATGTCTTTGAAGACATAGCACTTTTTGGTAGGATGTCCAAGGAATCTGTGATAACGACAATAGTTGGGGTCATCCACTTTCCCTGCTTCATCCGGCTTCCTGACCTCAGGCAATTGCAGCTTGTTGTTCTTTCGAAGCAATTGGAATAATGTATCCACGTGCTCCTCTTTGAACGAATACTGCTTGGGCGCTCTTTGCTGATTTGGCGCTTTGCCCTGCTTGTTCGGCGGTGGAACTCGCGTGTAGTCGGCCGCCAAGGTCTCCTTCCCCTTAGACCGTTGGGCGTTGTTCTGGTTGCGTTGCTGATTTTGCTGCTGCGGCTTGGGTTGTGGCATTTCTTCGGCTTTGACCCGTGCCACTATTTCTTCAGCTTGTTCTCCTTGTGAGACTAGTTGTCTCCAGGAGCGACATTCTGCCACCCCCATTTGAGCAAGGAGCTGGGTCTGCAGGTTGTGCCTGCAAGTTTCAACCAGAGTTGATTGGGTCATACCTGAGGGGCATCGCAATGCCATGCTGCGGAATCTCTCCACATAGGTTTTGATGGACTCTCCTTTCCTTTGCTTAGTGGCAAGAAGAGTTGGGACCGAGACCTCCGTGTCGTCCTCAAAGAATCTGGCCAAGAATAGCCTTTCCAGGTCTACCCATTTCTGAATAGATCCGGCAGGCAATTTCATGAACCATTCGAAGGCGACACCCTTAAGGGTACCGATGAACAGCCTGGTCAGGATGGCGTCGTTTGCTACTACATCCCCAGTTTGGGACTTGAAGTAGTAAATGTGCTGATTTGGCGATCCTGTACCATCGAACGGTTGTAAGGTAGGGGCCTTAAACTTCGGTGGGTAGGGAGCTGTATCCCACTCAGCAGGGTAAGGCCGCACAACTCCCTCTTCCCGGAGCTCGCTTCGGTTGGCGATTGCGTTAAGGCGAGCCTCCAGCTCATCCACTTTAGTAGATTGAGGGTGCAGTTCTTTCTCCATCTCCTTCTCACCTTCAGAAGAGGATCCCAGGTTGTGAGTCTCACGATCTGAATGTTCGTGCACTTTTTGTTTTCCCTTTGAAGTTGTTCTCCGGGAAGATTCAGGTTTGTGGCCTTTTTCAGCAAGAAGCTGAGCCAGCATATCCTTTAATTGGAGAAGTGTCTCTTGTTGCGCCTGGAGCATGACATGATGTTCGTCCACTCTTTTGGCGATGTCTTCGTGATTCCCTGACATGTAAGCGGAGACCTCGCGTGCTCCAACAGAGCTTGACGATTGAGATTCAGCTATTGCTGAATGTTCTTCACTTGTTGTAATGCCTTTGGCTAACTTTTGATAGTCAACCGGGCGAATAGCTCCTGTTCGAGTCCGAGTATTCTGATATACTCCTTCGAACTGGTCACAAATTTCTCTGACAGTCGAGTGATGACTCTCTTGTGACTCATCGGAATCAGTAGGCAAGGCTTTCCCTCGGCCGATCATGTTGATAGTGACCTGAGGGTATTCCGCTTCAACTGTCTTCTTTTTGTTGCGGCGTTGTCGTTTGGCAGGTCTAACGACATTCGTCAACCTGTCGAATACAGACTGCCGAGGTGTTGTTGCACAACAAGGGCATTCTGACAAGACTGCCGAGATAAGCCTCTCACATTGACATGGGTGAGC